CCCCCCGCGTCCCGATATTTGTGGCATCTGGTCACCCTATACACAGCACTGAATTTTAAGTTAACTAAGTCCCCAAAGGCATTGTTAGCAGAAAAATCTCTGATCAAGAGTGAACAGGTGCACATGTGCATATCAACATGGAGCACCCCTAGGAACAAAACATCTTGAATTCCAGTTACTGTATAAGGTAGGCAACCTCTCCATTTTAACAAAGAAAGAACTGTGACCTAGCAAAGAAAGCACTTCAGGATATTGGCTCATTGTGATTAAAATCCGTGTTGAAATCTACTCTAGACTTGACACAAGTGAAGCAAGTTCAGAAATCTAACTTCTGATACATGTGCCAGGCTCCTGCTGATGTTAATTTAAGCTATGTGTGCACATTGAAGAAAGAATGGCCCCCTACGTGTAGGTGGATCAGGAAATTATATGGTACAATAAACATATTAAGATAACTAAAAAATGCAGTTACTGTAAAACATACCGTTTGCCAAGTAGGGATCTCACTGTAAATAATAATAGGTCTACTGAAACAGTTCCTCTGTACTGATTTCTTGCAGGCAATGAAATATCAAATTCCATAGCATACCCCTAAGTAATTATCAACCTGTAAACTCTGCAGAACATTTAATCAGATTGACTAGACATCCAGTCAAATTGGGTACCAAGCTGATCTTGGTACTAATTTAGGATCTGCTCCTTCAGTCCTTAACATCATTGGAAGTTTTGCTGGCTAGGATAGCAAGAGCAAGCCCTTCAATCATTAAACTCCTTCATACAATGAAACTAGTTTGTCATACTGGTGCCATGTTTACAATCCAAGGAATAGATAGTTTTAGATAGCTTTCCTTCTGTTTGTGTTTATTCCTATGTTGTGAACCATAGAACTATCTTGCCTATGGGTTCGAGTTTAAAAATCAACATTCACACTGACTGAATTGACGATATTTTGTCAAGTTACAGTAACTAGAAATATTAAGTTTTAGATTCTGGGAATAATTGAGTTTTAGATTATTTAGGGAATAATTGAAACATCCCGGAGACATTGTTCATTTTTTAGAGTTTTTATATATATTTTTGATAGCTTAATCCCTGTCTTGTATAAGGGCTTCACTAATGTATTCTGGAGATTGACTATATATAGCAGAGGTGCAGGTAATTACATACAACCCCAGTGGCTTCATTCAATGTGTGGTTATGGCCTAGTGCTTTCAGGTATGGGAGTGTTTATGCTAGGCTACTGTACTCCTTTTAAATTTATTCTTGGTTCTAAGAATTTTTGCATCAGCCAGTTATAAACTAGCTTAACATAAAAAAATTAACAAAGGTGCCAACCTGTAATATTTGTCCTTTGTTTTTTCAAAGAAATGAAACTGTCACTGATTAAAGGAATGAACAGATGTGAATGTCGTGTTAGCAGGGCTTAATTTGTGCTGGGGCTTGCCAGAGCCGAGCCCCAGCACCTCTAGCCTTAGCAGTTCATAGCCCTGGCACCTCATGGCTGGCTGGGTCAGTGATGAACGTAAAAAATTGCTTGAGCCTCGGCACCTCTTTCATTACAAATTAAGGGCTGCGTGTTAGTGTTTATTCCAAAGAAACCTGGGGATCAGTTTGTCATCATTCCTATGACATGAACGATGCTGAAGTTGTGTGCAGACAGCTAGGATGCTCACAGGCCATTTCAGTACCAGGAAATATCTATTTTGGTCAAGACACCAGAAGTAGTCTCCTGGATAAAGTGCAGTGCAAAGGGAATGAATCCTACCTGTGGAAGTGCTCTCACAGGGGGTGGTACAGACATAACTGTGGTCACCATAAAGATGCTGGTGTCATTTCTTTTATGCATGTTAAGTATTTACTATTGTAAATCAATTACGTGTTGAGTGATACGTTAACATGTTATGGGCAAACATATTAGCTGCATGAAGCTAGTCTATGTAATCTTCTTTGAGCTCTGGAAATTGAGATGCATTTCTGAATCATCGGAATCTTTGTTAATAGCATCCTTAATCCCTGTTTTTGGACTTGTGGAGGCTACTCATGTTGGACCTCCAGTTTATCTGAGTTCCCTGATGACTCTCCTCCACACTGGACTTTTGTCCCACACTTTTACCACACTGTCCTTCCCACCAGTCCCAGGCCTGGCTCACTCCTCATTTACTGCCTCAGCTGCTGGTCCCAGGCTGCTGAATGCCTGGGAATAGGAAATCCTGGGACAGCAAGTTTCTACAGTTGCAAAGTCATAGTCTTATCTTTCAATTCTGCCATATTCTTCACAAAGCACATTCTTCTCCTTCCTTCCGGAGTTCAGTGCTCACAAAACCCATCACCTGTTTGCTGCCTGTTTGCTCTTCTCTCAAACCCTTCTTCTCCATTCCCTCTGCATAGGTGATCTCAACAAAGTGACGTGTGTCAAGCTCAGTGTGACCTTCCTGGATTCCCCTCTCCCATCACCCTCCCAACATTTTCTCTTCCCTATCTCCACTTTACCCTCCACTTCTAGCCCCTCAGCATGTTACTTTCATCCTTTAACCTCCAGCCTACTAATTTTCCTTCCACACTACCACTTTAACTCCCTCATACCAAGCCTTTCCCACTCATCTGGCTCATTCCCCTCTCTGTACAAACCTGTCCTGGTATCGTCCATCCTTAACTGACCCTGTCTGTCTCTCTGATATTCATTCCTATCCAAGCCCTTGTTCTAGGCCTGCTCAGTCATCTGTTGTAGCCAAGAAGCGCCTGGTTCTAACTGCTCTCTCAACCACTTGGGCTTAAGAGCTTATATCTCTTGAGTTGGCAAGCCAAGGAAACACTGAAGTCTGCATCTATATGTTAAGGGATGACCTACATGGAATCACTGTGGGTAGACCCAGCCCAGAGTACTCTAACCACAAGAGCTGTAGCATGGAGCATAACCCCCTTACCCACAATAGATGTAGAGCTATATATGAAGTGATAGTGGGCAGTGCTGTACTCATCTGATTGCAAGGGCCTGTCAGCAGTAACCAGGGAACAAGAGCAAGAGCCAGGATCAGAGCCCCTTGCCCAGTCATGGAGCAAATGGCAAGAACGTCCAGAGCTAGCCACCCAATTAGGGGCCAGCAGCTCACCCAGCTGATGGCAGGAATCAACCTGATCATCCATCCAGGCCAGGCCAAGCCAAGCAGCGGCCAGCACCAAGAGCAAACAGCCTGACCCCAGCCCTAACCCCAGTCCAGGAAAATGAGCAATTGGGGTGGAGCCTCCAGGAGATATGACTGCTCCCTATAAATACATCAGAGGGATAAATACCAGGGAGGGAGGGGAGTTAAGTGCCAATGTGGATGCAAGAACAAATGGCTATAAACTGGCCATCAACAAGTTTAGGCTTGAAATTATATGAAGGTTTCTAACCATCAGAGGAGTGAAGTTCTGGAACAGCCTTCCAAGGGAGCAGTGGGAGACAAAAAACCTAATTGGCTTCAAGACTGAGATTGATAAGTGTATGGAGGGGATGGTATGATAAGACTGCCTACAATGGCATGTAACCAATCTGCGACTGCTAATAGAAAATGTAAACATGGAAAACATGTCTCTCTGCTTACTGGCATTCATTTTTTCCAATATGTTGAAGATATGTTCCTGAGGCTGGTGAATGGGGAGAACGGGTGTGCAGACCGTGTTGAAATTTATTACAGCAGACGCTGGGGACCAGTATGTGATGATGGCTGGGACAGGAGAGAAGCACAGGAGGCGTGCAGACAGCTCAGCTGTGGAAAGGGCAAGGCCATTTTGGTCAAGGCTCAGGCTGAGTTTTCCTGGATGATTTGCAGTGTAGAAGAGAGAAGCCCCTTGTGTGGATTGTTGTCACAGAGGGTGGTTCTTGCACAACTGTGACTTATTAAATTCCAGAACAGATAACACTGGAATCCTCCTGAGGTCACAGTTTGCTTTATGACTTGTTGCCAAAATAAGTGGCTTGACTTTCACAGGTACAGAGCATAGGGAAGTTCCCACTGATTTCCACGTAGGTGCCTAGTGCCTACTATGAATATATGTTCCTCATTGCAGGTACCTATGTTTGAAATTTTGGGGCTATACTGAGGCTCAGCGATCTGTCCTTGCAGATCCAATTGCAAGATCATAGCCAAAAACATGTTTTGTTTTCTTTTTAAATGAATGAAAAACTTGGATAGTGCAGTGGAAAGTTTTTTAGTGTGCATCATTGTATGTGTTAACCAAAGCACTCGATCAGTGCCCTCCATATGTCAAACTTCAAACAGGCTTTCTTTGTTTCATGAGTGTTTGGTATATTTCTCTAAGAGGTCTGTTGTTATAGGAGACAAGGAAGCTGTTATATGCCAATGCTGCAAAGATCAGTTGAAATGTCACACGAATGGCTTTCCTCTGCGGGAAATCAAAACTTATCTGTTAAACTGAAACTTTCAAATCTTTCAAAACTTTTAGCTTTTTATTATATTAAACTGTAGATAAAAAATTTAGTAGATTTTTGGCAATAAACTAGCTCCTTAAAATATTATCTGCCAGAAAATAAAGATTGATCAATCTTCCCCTAATCTTTTTCCTTTACAATTGATATGGGAAGTATTTGCTCTCCAAGAGCCTAATTGTGTGAAGCCCTGAGTGCCTCCTGCAAAGTGCTGATAGTCCTCAGTTTCCCCCCATTGAAATTGAAGATGCTCCAGCAGCTCATCTGGCACCACCCATTGCAGGACCCTAAATGCTACTTCCAGAAATCAGAATAAGAATAATACTGAATAAGAAATATACAAGGGTAGGTCTTTAACATCATTGTTGGAAACATCTCCTAGAAGACAACACTGGCAGGCATCATCCTATAGCAGTTCGACTCAGAGGGCTGGAGTCTTAGCCAGTGTAAACCAGTGTCACTTCATTTACGTCAGTAGAGTTACATTGACTTACATCAGCTGAGGGTCTGACCAGTGGGGTCATTTCAGAAAAAAATGGAGTCTGAGTGGAATGGGTGTTGCTTTCCTAATGACCACAATCAAAGTTGGAGGCAGGGTAGTGGAAAACATAATGGAGCTTATAGACCTATGAAAAGTCAGGGAGCGCAAACCAAAGTCAGAGTGTTTTTTGTACCTACCCACAGTGGGACTCTAGATTCTGGTCCATTTTTGCTCTGTAGGAATAGAACTATAGGAAAATGGAAAGGTGGAAAATTTCCCAGCTTTAAAATATCCCTTTTCTCCCTGAGTGCGTGTCTCAAGCTCCCATTGATGTAAGTAGCTGTTATCTGGGAACACTGAGGAGAGGATCTAACCCTGTCTGTGGAAGAAGAAATTGTTTAAAAAAAATTAAGATGAACTAAAAACAGTTATTCTAAACAAACTTTTGCAAAAAAAATGTTTTAAATGTATCCCATAACGCATTTATTTTGTAAGAATCCATTAAGTTAAAGAACAAAGATCAAATTGCACAGCACACTCCTTTAGATTGACACGTATATAAATTCTGAAACATGTTTCTTTAGATTCACAGGAAACCCAGTCACCCTTTGATGGTTTAACTCCTTCTTAATGAACTTTTCTCAGCCCACAGAAATGTTGCATTCATTTACTGAAAAACAAAGTGTCAATTACGTTCTTTTTTCTTTCCAAGAAATGTCACCGAGACTGACGAATGGAAGGAGCAAATGTGAGCGTCGTATTGAAATATCTTGTAAAGGAAACTGGGGAACAGTCTGTGATGACTCCTGGGACTTAAATGATGCACAAGAGATGAGCAGGCCATTTCAACACCAGGAAATGTTTACTTTGGTCAAGGTTCAAGCAATATTCTCCTTGGTGACGTGTAGTACCAAGAGAAACAATCCTATCTTTGGCAGTGTTTGCACAAGGGCTGGCCCTCATAAAGCTATCTGCATGATGCCAACATTGTTTGTTCTGGTACAGTCTGATTTCACTTATAAGGGAAATAGTCTGGTTTTTTGCAAACTGATTTTAATCTGAATTCCATTTTTGAGGATCATTAGAGGAAGAAATGCTAAATTGCTTGTTCAATTAGTCATTTCATTGAGAATATTCAGGCTTTTAACATTTTAGACTAAATCCTGAGCTCTTTATTCAGGAAAGACTCCTATTGATTACAATGGAGACTTGCCTGGGTAAAGACTTCAGGTTTTGTCCAAAAGCATTTGTGATTTTTCCCTAAATTCCTTATTTTACTGTAGTGAAAGCAGTGTTTGTGTTTCTAGGTTGAATAATAGGCCTCATTCCCCATTCATTGATATTAGTGTATATCAGGAATATCTCCTGTGAAGTCAATGGAGAATCAGGCCCATAGAATTAATGCCTTTTTCAATGGGACTGGGACTGATGACTCTTTCATTAGTTTTTCACTCATTTATGCGCTTTCTACACTGCTAAATTGCTTCTATTTAAGGGCCTGAATTGGCCTATAATTTTTTTAAATCGGTAATATATGAATTGCTCATACTTAGAGGTGGGTCTGAACCAAAAGCCAAGGTAATAACTCCCCTCAAAATTTCAGGAAATTAAGATCTGAACCCAGATTCAGACTTCACAGCTGGCCCCATCTATATAATGAACCAAACAAAACCCCTTACCTGTTTACTCTGGTAAAGTTTAGATCAAGGTGCAAACTGCAGCTTGCGGCCATCTTTACTCATGATCATTCTACACTCATTTGTGTGCACTGATTTTACTGTTGTCAAAATCTAAATAAAGGAAACTCAAAAAGTAATGTGTTAAAGCTCTCTCTACTACACACTCCTAATCTCCATTGGTTATGCTACATAATCCGAAGAAGTGGGCTGTAGTCCACGAAAGTTTATGCTCTAATAAATTTGTGCCACAAAGGTGCCACAAGTCCTCCTGTTCTTCTTTTTGCGGATACAGACTAACACGGCTGCTACTCTGAAACATAACTAGAAAGCTATCTGTTTGGATGGTAACTCTTAAAATATGTTGAAAGCAATCAGTGGGGCTAATGAGACTTTTTGTGACCCACCTAACACTACATGGTGAGATCAAAGGCATTCACTGAAAGCAGGGTAACCCTCTTTATTAAATGTACGCCATTGTCCAGGTAAACATGAGACCAGGAAAAGAGCCAAGAGTTTAGCGTATGCCAATATAAATGAATCACTTTGGTATAAAATCTTACTTAAATCAAGTTGGTTGAGTGAGAGGATGAAATGAATGGTAACACTGTCCACTCAGCCAAAAACATTGATGCCAATTCATATCAGCATACCAGTCATCTGCATAGCAAAAGAAAGAGTGTTATCTCTGAAGGTGTTTCCCCCTGACATGGTGGACTTCCAATGCTTGTAGGTGGTGACACACCCTGGCTATGGACACACACCTTTGGGAATGGAAAGTTGGACACAGTTCAGGCCACAATAAAGGACATAATATCTAAGGGTTTCATCTACCTTTCCTTAAATGTTTGCACCTGCTTAAGGGCATTTTCGATAGTGACCAGTTTTTTTGTTGTCAGTTTTATTTAATCAACTTTTGTTTTATCCCTTTCTCTATAGATTCTTCACTCTGCCAATATTTTTTTTTATCTGGGCTGAATGTAACAACTGTTAAATCAGGGCTAATTGCTTTTAGGCACCTAGAAGAGAAAAGAAATTGAACTCTGCCCTTCTAGGATACTGACTAACAGGTTCGGTAATGGCTTGAGAAAGAGGGTAGGTGAATGCCACTTCAGGCATGGGGAGAACAAATAAGCTGAAAAGTGCTAGGTATTAATACTGCATTGCATCTGGAAATGCAGAAAAATACTAGCAAGCTGTCTAATGCCCAGCCTATCAAGCATTCTTAAAACTACAATACCCACCTGCTGAAGTGAAAAAACAAATGGACAGAGCCAGAAGAGTACCCAGAAGTCACCTACTACAGGATAGGCCCAACAAAGAAAATAACAGAACGCCACTAGCCATCACCTTCAGCCCCCAACTAAAACCTCTCCAGCACATCATCGAAGGTCTACAACCTATCCTGAAAGATGATCCCTCACTCTCACAGATCTTGGGAGACAGACCAGTCCTTGCTTACAGACAGCACCCCAACCTGAAGCAAATACTCACCAGCAACCGCACACCATACAACGTAAACACTAACCCAGGAACCTATCCTTGCAACAAAGCCTGATGCCAACTCTGTCCACATATCAATTCAAGTGACACCACCATAGGACCTAATCACATCAGCCACGCCAT